ACCATATAATATACCCCTTTGACTTTTCTTTTTGGGTTTTGCAGGACTTACTGTAGGTTTGAAAAACTGAATTCGTGTAACTTTTGCTGCAGACCCATCTTCTCTTGAAGAAGCTTTTGATAGAGTGAAGCCTTTTTGCCAAAAGCATTCTCATCAGCAAAAGGTTCATATTCTCTTAAAAAGGAAATTGTCAAAGGATAATTTAGTCATGACTTTCTTTTAATGGGTTACATGTTTTGTTTTCTATAATAAATATTATGCAATATTAGCAATGTGTTACATTTACTTACTATTGGAATGATTATTTGTATTTGACATATTAATGCAATGAGTTATCTTTATTGTTTATGGTATTTTATTTTGTATTGTGAGACTTTTCATGTGTGTTATTTAATTTGAAAATTAGTAAATCTATCAAAAATATATAATTTTAAAAACATTTAAAATTATGACACGCAAAAATGCGTGTCGTATTCCTTTATGACAGGGGATTTCTTGATACGCATTGCATGTCATAAACACGCGTGTCGTAAGGTTACGACACGCAAATGCGTGTCGTCTTCCTTTATGACAGGGCTTTCCTTGATACGCATTGCGTGTCATAACTGTGCGTCGTAAATGCGTGTCATAAATGCGCGTCGTAAATGCGCGTCGTAAATAGACGACGCGGAAAAGCGTGTCGTCTCTCGTTATGACAGTGCCTTTCTTGACACGCATTTGCGCGTCGTCTGAGCGTTTTACGACACACATTGCGCGTCGTAAAAGGCTGTTTTTCTAGAAGTGTCAAGTTTTGGAATTTAAAATTTAATTAAAAGTTTTAATTTTGAAATATTAATTTCTTAAACCCTAGTAATTTGAAAAGTTTTAAAAATACACCTCTTGGTTATGAAATTTAAAATTTAATTAAATAGCTTTAATTTTGAAATCTTAAATTTAGAACCTTGATAAGATTTTGAATAGTTCAAGTTACACCCTTAAGGTTTTATTAAATTAATTAAATGTTTAATTAAAAGAGAAAATTAATAAAACCACATAGTATTTTGACAAAGTGTAAAATACACCCTTATGCTATATAAATTAAAAGTCTAATATATTATATATGTATAAGTAAGAGTCAATCTTACCGTTAGTAGGCCTCATTCACGAAGCTGGTGTATAAGGGGTGTTTAAGGAAGCGACCTGTAAAATGACCGCCATTGGGTATCCACTCTTACCCACCGCACCCTTGACTAGTAGAGGGTCGTTAGCCGAACGAGTAGGATAGGACACAACCTTCCATTATAAGTATAATGAAATACGAAGTAACTAAACATTTTTCTAAAATTCCCAAATCTTAGTTACTTTAGGAAAAATGTGAATTTGGTGCTAATCCATGAAATTACACATTGCACCTTATTGGTCGTTAGTGGAGCGTGTATGGTTAACCGGCACACTAATCTGGGACTAATGTAGGATGACAATAGGTAGCTCATTAAATATCATAGATCGATGGAGCGTGTGTGGCTAACCGACACATTGATTAGGTGATAAATATCGAGAGTACCAGGCTAATTTGCATGGTTATTCACACCTTGTTTGTGATCCTC